ACCTGAGTTCGGTTCCTGGTACCAAAAAAAAAAAAAAAAAAAGCCAGACATACGTACATCTTTGGCCCATGGAAAAACTGCATGCTCCTTGGTCAGAGACAATATGAACTGTGTTCTCCCAGCACTATGTCCTCGCTTTCTGTACACACTGTTTGTGGGAGTCTTTGTTTGCCAATCAATGAATACTTATTGAGGGCCTACTTACTGCCAGCGAACCATCCAGGCACTGGTCAGTGACGCACTGATGCACTGTCACTCCCACCAGCCCGGGCTGCAGGTGCCACAAGAGGAATTACTGCTGCCTTCCTGCTTACCACCATGCTGTACAAGCTAGCAGAGTGCCTGGCACATGCCAGGGGCTCATCCATTAGCTGCATTAATATGAGAGAGAGGGAATGAGACCGGGTCAGTTTGTTGTACATGAGGCATCAGGACTCTTCAGGGCCCCGGCAGGCCTTCTGATCCACAGGCAAGGCAACTGATGAATTCTGAAAAGCCCAACGTGCAATGCACAGCTATGTACAAACAGCAGCTGTCACACAGAAGCTGAGGTCCAGAAGTGTGAAGAATCCAGCCCTTTGTTTCTCTCATGACTGAAATGAGGTTAGGTCTAATGTCTATCTACCTGTCAGCTCTAAGCATTCAACATATGGCTTTCCAAAATATTAATACTACCTCTGAGAGAAATTTATGTTGATTCACTCTCTGACATCACTGCCTCAAAAAGATACTATTTAAATGTCTGAGGTCACATATACCATCTAAAAGAACCGAATTAAAATAAAGAGTTCTCCATTTCAGGTTTTTGCAAGCTATAAATTAGCTTTCAGAGTATTTAATTTAAAAATAAAGGTTTGACTCATTATTTAAACTCTCCAAATTTCAGGTCAGAGACCAAACAGGGTTCTTTACCAATAAGCCATGCAAAATGAACTGTATGCTCTAATTTTGAGCTTCGTGCAAGAGTTTTAATTAAAACTTAAAATCAAGCTGGGTGTGGCAGTGCAGGAATGTAACTCCAGCACTCTGGGTAGCTGAGGCAGAAGGATCACAAATTTGAGCTCAGCTTGGGCAATTTATTGACTTAGCAATCAATACTCTGTCTTTAAAAAAGGACTGAGGATGCAGCTCAGTACAAAGGCTCTGGGTTCAATGCCCAGTACTGGAAAAAAAATAAATTAATAAGAAATAGGACTGATTAGGTGGGTTGTATGCTTCCCAGAGCAGGTATAAATACACTAATGGGATTAACTGTAATAAATATTAGCTTACTATATAAAAACCAGTAATATAAGCATAAAATGTGTAAATGCATAGAAGTCCATGTAATCAGTAATAAAGTTTATTTTGAGGTTCTTCTCCACATCCGACAGGACAATAAATTAGGGAATAAAAGAGCAAAGCATAATGAAATAGAACTGTACACCAAAGCATGCCAAACAGAGAAAAGCCTTAAAGCAAGGTTGCTATTAAGCTATAAATACGTTTAAATTTGAGTTAGTTATGTTTAATGGCTCAGTAAAGAGTCCCTGTCTTCCAGTCTCCAGTCCCTACAAATCATGACTTACCTGGAAAGGTGATTCTTTATAAACAAAATGCACATTAAATAAAAGAATAAGTTGAATTACATTAAACTTGAAAACAATCACTAAGCTTAGTATAAGAAAATTATAACACAAATTTGAAATAGTTAAAAAAAAAAAAAACAAACCTTGAATTTTCCAGACTGATCATCTGATTCAAAATGAAAGTAATTTAATGACCTAAAGCAGCAACTATAAGTAAGAGAACCTTTAATAAATCGGAGAACCTGAAGTCATCAAAAGGCCCGCCAACTGTCCCTTGGGTGAATTAATTCTATTTTCAGTATTCTGGGAAAAACAATATGTAACTGAAAAATCGAAATGAAGTTTTTGCTTAAATTTTAAATATTGTTTTTAAAACTTCCCCAAATCAAGTTTACTTTATGATTTTATTTACAGTCTGACTTCCACAACATACTGTACTTTGCAACGTTCTGGAAAAAGAATAGACTCATTTGTTCAGATGATTAGAAAAATGTACTTAAGATCTAAGATGGGCTAAAAAATAAAATGAAAAGTATTTGTGTTAATAAAAAACAAACTTAAAACCTAAGATGAGCAAAAAATAAAAACGTTTGTATTAATTTTTAAAAACTACCATATCGTGCCTAGACATATATTCAAACTGGATTCTATAAAAATCCCTAAATACACATTAAAATTCTTCATAAAAAAAATTTCAACTACGTATCAGCACACCAGCTGGAAATATGATATACCCAACCAAACTATGTTCCTGCCCAGAAATTACCCCCTCCCTTCCTAAGTGTGGCTACACTTTACCTTTTGTTCAAAAACATCATAAATCATCAACTATGAGAACTGGGTCAGCCCCACACAAGCAGTCCCTGCCTCCGGCCGGCCGAGACATCCTGGGGAGCCTGCCGCCCCGCCGCCGGGGTTGCCCCCCCTCCCCCTCCCGGGTCCGGTCCGCTCTGCCCCGCGTCCCGTCCCATCCCGTCCCGCGCGGCGGCCCGACCCCGATCGCGGGGCGGCTGTCACGCCGGCCGGAAGGCGGAGGCCGAGCGCGGCGCGGCCCGACTCCGACGCCGCGGGGCAGACCCGCCCCGGGCCTGGCCGGCACTTTCGGCCGCGCCGCGTTCCAACACAAGTTCGCCCACAGCCCGAAGGCGGGCCGCCGTGATTCAGCAGCGGCCGAGTGGGACTGCGGACCGGGACGACTGGGCCGAGTTCGGAAAAGGTCACGGAGACGCCGCGCGCGACCCGGAGGGGGGCGGGGGCGGGCAGGCCGGGCGCGGCGCTAGGCTGGATCGGGGCCGCGTCCGGCTGGTCCTACCTTTCCGGCTCTTGGGCGAGCTCCGCTTGTTTCGGGCGCTGGCTCGCTCTTCCTCAATCGCAGCTGCTATCTCGGGGTTGTCTTCCCCATTGTACCAGACCAGGAGCTCCTCGCCAGGCGCGATTGGCTGCGGGGAGAGAAGAGACAAGCGCCAGACCAATCAGAACGACGGTTGTTGGCGGGGGCGGGGCGGCGCCCAGGCGGGCGGGAGCGGCGAGCCGATGGCAAACAGCTGTCGGGCGGGCGCCGCGCCGCGGCCGGCGACGCGGGGAGGAGGAGCCCGGGTTGAGCGTTCGGAGGCTCCGCCGCTGGGAGGGGCTCGCGGACGCGCGCACCGCAGGGAGGTCAGCTAGGAGGAGGGGCTCGCGGGCGCGCGCACCGGGAGGGAGGACGGGCTCCGCTAGGGGGAGGGGCTCACCTCAAGCAGCACGCTGCAGCAGAAGGGCCAGCAGTGGCTGGTGGGACCTAACCAGCAGGCGCTTCCACGTCTTACTGCTGCAAGCCTCATGCCACCCACACAGAAGAGAAAATACAACCCAGAATCATTCTGCCCACGAAATCCAAGTGGATGAAAATCTGAAGCACCATTAAGTAGGCAGCATGCTAACGGGACTGCCCATACACGTTTCTGATCCCAAGCGCAAGTTAAGCACATTTATCCATACAACGCTGTTTTTATCACAGAAATGCTGACAGGAAGCAGCTCCGGACAACGCATCATATTATTTACGCAGTGCTGCCAACCTATTCGGATCAGACACATCAAGATTTTACATTACATCTTTTAAACACGGAAGGACATACCTAAAGATGCCTCCCATGTATTATGCTCCCAAAACATATAATCCTTAACAAGTGAGGTGTGAGTAGGAGCCATGCCGACACCCCCCCCAACATACTTATTAAACCTACAACAAGATTCTGAAGAACAAAATACGCTGCGTGGTAAGACTGGACCCTAAACAAACTGAGGGAACTTTCAACCAGGAGACCACCAGGCCTGAGACCAAGCCGGAGAGGACCCCTGGAAAGGCCCACCAGCCTCCAGCTTGGCCTTGCGCCCTGGTAGAGCAGGCACTGGCTGAGGGTGCCCTGCTCAGTCCTGCTCGCTCTGCCCACTTTCGACCAGGAGACCAAGCCTCTACTTGGAGCCACACTACAGAGGCACAGGGGAGCATAAAGGGCATTGTCCTGAGCTACAGAAGTGAACAACACAGAAAGGGCCTCTCTCGGGGTCTCGGATGAAAACTGAAGCCCACTGGAGAAGTGAACAGAATCTCTGCAATAAAGGCACACCAGACCACCGTGCTTGGTAAGTTGGAGGGATCTTCACCTCCTTATCGGAACCTGGACTATCTTCAGGGGAAAGGCAGCTGGAACCTGCAGTAGAACCTTGCAGAGTTCAACCCTGTAGGAGAACAGGGAGCTCAACTTGGGAGCTGCAGCCAGAAATCTGCCTGAATCACACAAGTCTGTGACTGGCTTACTGAGACTCACTGACATATAGCTGCACACGGCTGCCCACGTTATCTATTGTGACAGCAGAGACATACCCTGAAGGAGGACCTTCATTTTTATCTTTTATTTGTTATTTTCAGAATTACCACTATTTTTTTGCTCTTGTTTTTAATTTTTTTCTTCTTTGCTACTCCTTTAAAATTTTTATTTTTTTCTTTCTCTCCTCTTTTCTTTCTCTCTCTACCTCCCTCCTTTGCTGTCCCACATTGTTCTTCATCTCCCTTTGTGTTCCTGTCCTGCCCTTAATTCGTATTTCTTCTTTATCTTTCATTTCTTCTCTGTCCTTCTCTTGCCTGTGCCCTCTGGCCTCACTGCTAACCTTCCCCTTTCCTATTCCTCCCCCTCCCTAACTCCTTCTAACTCCCCAACCCAAAGGGTAAAGTTGCTATATTGAAGAGTTTATTCACTATAA